GGCCTCCGAATTCCATCCGCGGGCCAATGCCGACTGGCGACTACCCGGAGAAGAGCCTTCTCTGTGGCTGCTCCGACCCTCTGGAACGAGCTCCCCATGGAGATTCGAACCCTCACCACCCTCCAGGCTTTCCGCAAAGCCCTTAAAACCTGGCTGTTCCGACAGGCCTGGGGCTAAAGAGCTTTTGCCCCCCTCCTCGAATGGTATGGTTGTTGTGTGTTTTAATCGAGTATTGTTATGTTCGTCTTTTTATCCCCTGTCTGTACCCCCTTCCCTGACTGAATTGTGAGCCGCCCTGAGTCCCCTTCGGGGAAAAGGGCGGCATATAAATGTAATAAATCCAATCCAAATCCAATCTTGGCATGCTTCAAAATTCTGCAAAATATGATTTTTTTTTCTTTCATATTATAAGGAGATTGAAAATCAAATTATTTAACTGATTAAATTTTTATTAAATATATGACTTTATTATAACCAATTTCCCTAAACAAATAAGTATCAGATTTATATATATTAAAAATGCCCAACTGCCCCAAATTCTAGAAATTTGTGGAAAATATTTCTATTTCTATTTGCAAAAATGACTAAAAATTCCATTAATCGTAGATTAATCATAGCCACCCTTTTTACTATTGTATGAAATACTTGCCAGGGAAACAAAATGACACATAAATATCCAGTTAGATATTTTTTGTTCGCTCAGCTATGAAATTTCATAAAGGTATTTAAAATATTCATTAGTGTTCTCATATCTAAAAGCATAATCATAAGCCTAATGACATTTCATGATCGGTTATGAAAGAACCCCTGAAATATAAAAAAAGTATGCATTATACATTAAAAAACTATTCAGTGTAATATATGAAGAAATCTGTGCATAAAAATTGGGCCGTTTAATGGTCCTAATAGAACATTTAAGTTGATGTGAAAATATACAGACCATTCAACTGAAATTTCAAAGGTTAAATCTTGAAACTCACTAATCCTTTTTTCAACCTCTACCAATGAAATAAAATCAGGATAAAGTTTGCAAAACAAAAAAAATATTTAAAAAGTAATAAAGAAAATATGTTAATCCTAAAATGTCTGACAGTTTGTTCATGGCGATTATCACATAAAGAAAGGTATGTCCAATTCATTGTATTTTCTGTGGTGAAAAAAATACAGATGTGGTAATCAGAAACACATTTTGAGATCAATTTGACATTTGAAATATCTTGAGTTCTGCTTGCAAGGCAACGTCTTAAGAGTATTTATATCATTTCAAAATAATCACCATCAGACATCTTTAAATTTAGCTTCTGCTTCTTGAAAATCAAGAGCAGAAATCTTCTCAAAGGTACTTGGGATAAGAGAACAAAAGTGACTTTTGAAATTTTTTAACCAAAATTATTGAGCACTGATAATTCTAACAATGCTAGCAACAAAAAAAAAAAAAAAAAAAAAAAAAAAAAAAACAGGAACCCTTATGTCTATTATCATGGCAAAACATTGAAATGCCTTATGTGTATATCTATAAATAAGTTGCATTAAGTTGGTTCCAGTCTCTGCACCCATGTGTCAAGTCTCTATGAAAAGATTTAAGTGCCAAGCTAAATAATATGTATAAACTAAGCATTTTATAGGGATTTTTCTGCTTTTTTAAAGTAATAGCCATTAAGCAAGCTTTAAGGCAGGGTTATCCTTTGATAGAAGTTTCCACCTAGCATCCTTTTGATATAGTTCTACCAAGTGGTGCTCTGCCTCTAAATTGGAGACAAGATGTTAACTTGAACTAGTCAAGATGCCAAATTGGAGACAACATATTAACTAGCCACTGCTGAGTTTTTATAATCTTAAATGAAGACATACAATATAGTTCTGCCAAATCAACAGTTGGAGGAAGCATCATACCTCAACACTTGTGGTTAGGAGATTCATATTCAATATTTTGAGGTGGTATCTCCTTAAAACCAGCTGCTTCAGTGAATGCCACTTCACATAATCCTAGCTATGTGATGGAGGAGAAACGTGACAAAGATAAATCTTATTTACGAAAAACAGCCTTGATCACTACTGTATTGAAGGTCTTCTATTATCTATTAACTAAGAGAGATAGAGATCACCAGATTGGAAAACACTACCCTAAAGTATCATAAACATAGAACAAATCTTAGGGGGGGAAAAGTCTTCAGAATTGAGCTTCTACTGTTTTTACATCTTCAGAATAAAAAAAAATGGTCAGTTAAATCTAAAATATATGTAATAGAAATAACAACATTTTCATCCTTGAGATAAGAGCTTGTTAAATCTCCACTTTGCAAAGTTTCATATATACAATGATAATTATAAGATTGAATATCAGAATTTTTAATCATATTGGGCTACAAATTTAAAAAGTATCATTGAACTATTTTCTGACTATATTATGGAATGACCATTGCATATATTATTTGTAATCAGTTTGTATACGCTCACATTGAAATCTTTTTATGAAATCAAATACATATTGTGAAGTTTTCTTTATTTTAAGCCACCCTTTTATCTAGCTATTGACTTGTAGGGATTCTAAATTATTTTATAATTCAAGAAACACATGAATTTGAATATGTAGTAATTTCCAGAGCTACACATACTTAAGAATATTTTTCAGAAGAGAAAGATAGTAAACTAACTTTATAAAGTAAGGCAGTTCTTAAGACAGAATGCAGTGGAACTGAGAATAAATCACATCCATTAACAGATGTTAAATATTCATAGCCTTATTGGACTTCACATATTTTCCAGTTTTGGTTCTTACTGGTGTTCACATTATTTCTACTTTTTTATTCTAAAAGGAGATTTTACTTATATTTAATACTTTAATACTTGACCACACAATGGCTTACCAAATCAGAAGTTAAGCATTTTTAAGCTAAAGCATAAAATTGCTATTCTTACTGAAAATGTTCCCTACCATTGAACTATATTATCATAATATTGTTTTTATTTATTTCAGTTTCTATGCATTCTGCATGGAATGTTGATATGTTATCAGTTGTAATATATCGTAATATCCCATCTACTTGTAATTAGCACTGAATCCTAACTGTCCTGGTGTTAGTTCATGGTGATTCTGATAATTTACTGAATAAGTGCAGCCTCAATTTTTTTTAATTCTACAGCTTTTTTGTTCTTTTTTTTTTGCCTTTTTCATTATAATTATTTCCACCTTATTTTTTTCTCACCAAAAAGTTTTATTAAACCAAATTCAAACAGACTTCCACCTTAACTTTTCCATCATTTGTCAGTGCCCTTAATCTCTTAATTGTTTTTTCCACTATTTATTCCTTCAATGTCTCTTCCCCCAAAGGTGCATTATGATGGGTGCAGCTACAAATTACAGCCTTTTATCATTGTTCAGGGATTCCAATGATGAAGTGATAATCCAGCAATCAGTCCACTTGAAAACAGTATCCACTCATGTCTTTTATTATTTTATATTAATTTACATGCACAATCCTAATGAATTGGAATGCCATATTAACCACAGAAACAAACAAATATTTTTAGATGAGTGCAATTAGTCTAGTTAAACATTGGACAATGATTTATGAACTGTCTCTCTGCTGTGGACACCATCATTTTATAGCTGTTATTGTATTCTGGACATCAAGGCAATCCTTGACTCAGTTATGTGGGAGAAAACCTCCACTGATTTTAACAGGACCTACTTCTGTGTCAAGATACAGAGGCAAGATACACCTTGATCTGGTACTGGTAATTTGTCCTGATTTTCCAGAGGCAAAATTACTGAATGGTAGCTTTTTGAAAAATTGTTTAGAGAATTTATTTTAAGTTTTTTAAAGAAAAGTTTACCAGTGGTGGAAGAAAGCACCAGAAAAGGTGAAGAGAAGAACAGACTAATTAAGAAAAGAGGCAGATCTGAAACAGCAAACATCTTAAAAGGCGGTATATTGTTTCTGGACTATTATCAAATCCTCTTGTGAAGTAGAAGGTAGCTGCCTCATTATCTTTTTCCTGCTTTTCTGTGGGTCTTTAATAATCTGTTTAGTTTTCTATTAGTTCTACTGAATCTTATTGTGATTCCCTCTGGCCTACATGCTCTTACTTGTTGCCCTTACTTTAGTTGCCCTGGTTTTTATGTAGGGCTCTGAAAAGATCCTACCTTTCTGGGATCTCATCTTTCAGTGGCACACTCCTATCTGACCACCTGGTTTCCAACTCAACGTTCTTTTATTGGTTTCAATGTCTTTCAATGCACAGTTCTGCTCCCAATTTTCTATACACAAAAGTCCCTATTAACTTTTTCTGGAAAACACACTGCTTGTACAATATAGAACCACTACATCAAAACCAGGTACCTTTCACTCTACAGATCATCTTTTCCTCTTCCCTCCTGAAAAAACCAACCAACTGAAAGCCTACCCTTCCTCGATCTTCGCTGTCCAGCAACTTCAAAAAAAAAAAGAGGGAAGGAATAAACTTTGCAAAACAAAACAAGTAGCTTTTAAAAAGTCATGCTGCTAGGCAGTAAGATCTATCAATAGGATCAGAACGCGGGAAAGGAACAAGCTCTTCCCAGGTAAGCCCACAACATGCATTCCCTCCAAGCCTGGTCCGGACCAGACAGATCTATCCACAATTTTATATTTGTCTCCAGGTTTAACATATCCCGAATAGCGTCGACAGAAGTAGGTAAAGATAAGCGGTTTACCGCGGTGTCAGATCCGTTCTTGCGAAGTGGTCCCCGGAAGATGCCTTTAATGCCACGGTAGTGCCCATTGCTGAGATGCCTGGAGCTGATCACTAGGTAGCACGCCATGCGGGTCCGAACCCAATTAAGAACTGGCAAGTGGCTGAGCCCGCGAGGTACCGGCTCTTCGGGATGGGCGGAGAGAAAACCGAGAAGACTCGTCTCGTGCAGCGGCTGCCGCGACCAAAGTCACCAGGCGCTGCTTCTGCGCCCCTTTGGAATAGAAGCCCCGACGGCACCGTCACTACTCCCTCCGTTTCCCACCCACCCCTCGCCTCTCCCCCTCTCTCATCCAGCGCCTGGATTGCTGCTGCCAGCAGCAGGATGGGTAAAAGGAGGAGGAGGAGGAAGAGGAGGAGGCAGCTGCCAAGAGCGCACGGGAGGGAGCCGAGAAGCCAGTCCACATGCTGTTTCGCTGGAAGATTCGGGGAGAAAGAGCGTTGGCGCTCAACTTGGCAGGATTGGGGCAACACTGAGCCTCCGCCTCCTCCCTCCCTCCCTCTTCCCTCTCACCCCGGCATTTGTCCTTTTTTCTCCCGAGCTGGTTCTAAGACACCACAGGCATCCTGAGGGGAAAATCTTGGGAACAGCGTTTTTCCATGGTTCTTTTCTCGCCGGTCTTTATCTACAGACGCAGGGAAAATGGGGGGGACCCTCGGTTCCAAATGTCTCCGCCGAGTCGCCGCCAACCTTCAGCCGCGTCAGCCGGGGCTCACTTGGCTTCACCTTTGGCGGGCATGGAGCCGAGGAGAGGGGAAGGGTGCGCGCGCGCGCGCGCGCGCGCTCTAGCCAGGCATTCATTCCCAGCTGCACTTCCCCAATCTCACCCAAGTTAAACATTTGGGAAGAGGGAGCCACCGGTGCAGGGTGACTGGCCGAAGTCTCTCCTTTCACTGCACGGAAGGTTAGGTAGGGTACAAACCTTCGTCTTAGCAAAGGGAAAACAAATGTTCATGAAAATTTCTTCTTTCCATTACAGTCACTCACTCCCAGCCGCACACTTTCTTTCTTTGTTTGTTTCTTTGTTTCTTCTTTTCTTTCTTTCTTATTTATTTATTTGTCAAACGTGTAAGATAACAGATATAAGTATGAACACGATTATGAATACATGAAATGGATACGAATACAAGGGAATATTAGGACAGGAATGGTAGGCACGCTGGTGCGCTTATGCACGCCCCTTAAAGACCTCTTAGAAATGGGGTGAAGTCGACAGTAGACAGTCTGAGGTTAAAGTTTGGGGAGTTTGAGGATGTAACAAACGGAGTCAGGTAGTGTATTCCAGGCATTGACCACTTTGTTGCTGAAGTCGTATTTTCTGCAATCGAGTTTGGAGCAGTTTACCTTAAGTTTGTATCTATTGTATTTCTTGAAAGGTTGGGCTGGAAAGTATGTAGTGAGTCGCTGTGCTCTCCCCGACCTTGTTCATTGGCTTGGAAACCTTTTGTCCCTAAAGTCCTTGGGGTCGGAAGTTCAGTTGTGCGAAAAGAGGCGCGCACTTTTACTAGGCTGAACAAGGTGGAAATTGTCCCCCTTTCAGCAGACAATCACTCCACTTCTCTCTCGGTAGTCGCCTCCCCTTCAGCCGCTCTTGGGTGACCACCTCCGTTTTAATGGTCCGGTTGAAACGCTCCACACTCCACCCCACACATTATCTGAGGTGCCCCGAGTCACAAAAATCTGCTTCTTTGACTTTCCCTTCAGTGTGTCCAAGCTGAAGAGGTGGCCGGAGAACCCGAAAAGCAGGTGGCAAGACGAGGGTGGTGAGGGGAAGTAGGTGCGCAGGCAGCCTAAACAGAAAGGAAATGCTGACTGGAACAACACCGAAGTGCCGGTTATAGGTCGTTTTAAAATAAATCGGTAGTAAACCCACATCAGGAAGTTTACCTGGCTTAAGGATAATTTATACCAACTGTAGATTGTGGATTTAATGTTTCTTCCATGCAAGATAATTGAGGAGGTCTGTTTAGTCTCCAGGGTCAATATGTGTGAGAAGGGAGAGATAAAGTGAAAAGAAGTGTCTTTTTGTCTATTTCTCTCAAGTGCTGGAGGCTTTTTTTAAAGCCTTATCTGTGTAAAGTTTATACAACACAACTTATTATGTGTCATCAGGGGACACATAAGGAACACTTGGGAGCTGCATAGATTTTTCTCCATAACCATCCCCTCAAACTTGTTCCTTCAAGTCTCCCTTTTCCACTATAACTGAGTCCATATTTACATGGTGCAAAAACAAAATGTATGAAACCATGATACCAATTTATGTTGTTTATAGTTCAGATTCCCCAAAAACTGGAAGCTGAAACTTCTTTTTTCCTAATTATCTCAATGACCAATTTACAGTACATAAATTGGACACTCTAGTTGATACAGTACTATTTTCCAAGCCAGTGTGAAGCCATTTGTGAATATATACTAGAGGCATGTTGATAACAGTTGTATTTATAACACTCATGACCTGTGTTTTCCAGGCTTTCTTCTGTAAAGTACTTGATGAATTTCTATGTTCTATGTGTATGTTACTGTGAATATGAGCAAAAACAGCAACAACAATCCAGTTGTCTATCATTAGAACTTTCTCTCTTAGCCAAGATTTCAGGACGTTAAAAAAAAAAATACATTTTATGGAGCTAAAAATTGAAAAATCCTAATCTTGACTACTTTATTATTTTATTAAATAGATTATTCATGACATGCTTTGTTGAATGCTTTGCTACTGTGTCCTTAGCATTTCCCATATCTACGAAGTTAGTTGCTCTGTCTAAAAGGAGATAAATTTAATCTTTGTTTGTAACAAAGCTTGGATTTCTTAACTGATATATTCCTATCCAAGTGCTAACAATATGCCATTTAATAATCTGCTTCAGGAACCTGCTCACCATAGATGTCAGATTGACAGCTCTATAATTTTCTGGGTTCTTCTCCTTCCCTTTTTTTGAAACCGTGTCTGTGTATGCTCTCCCTCCAGTTTTCTAGGAACTCACTCCAGGACTTTTCAAAGATTACAGTTAGCAAATTTGCAAGCACCTTCTCTTCTTCCTTTAGTACTGTAAGATGTATTCATGTGGCCCTGTAGAGTTGAACTCATTAAAATTAATTAACTGTTCTTCTCTCTTTGTTTGGAAATACAGTGCTGACCAGCTAATGTTTTTTTTTTTCCTTTTGAAAGAAGCAGACATTCTTTGGGGCATTTCTTACTCATCTCAGCTCATTGTAAACGTCAGCTTTTTTGGCAAAACCTCTAGTGCCTGGCTTGACCCTTTTTTGTTGTTGTTATGTGCCCTTCCTTCTGTTCCATAAAGTGTACATATTTCTTTGGCTGTTAAACATTTTAGAAGTTTTGTATTTTAAAATTATACACATATACACACACAGTTCCCTAAAATTCTCCCATTTTCTATCTCGTAAGGGTCGTTTATGATTGAGGCTTCACTATTTCATTTTGCCCAATTCCCCCATAAACATTTATTCTTCAGCATTTCAAGTTTATATCTATCAAAATCGACACTCCAAGTTATCCAGCATATGCTTATCAAGTTCATCACTCTTCAGAAATCCAGTATATAAATCTGATATTTTTAAAAATTCCTTCTTTCCTTGATGTCAAAAAATCAAGATATGACACAACCACAAAAACTCTGCTCACACGGGGAAATGTATGACTAGTTTTTCTTGTTCTTTCTTGTTCTTTTTTCTTTTTCCCTAATTACTTGCATTGGGATTATTCTTTATACTATTTATGTAGTTTGTATTTGTTGTCATGAATTGCACCAGTGAGCTAAAACCAATTTTGTTGTATTTATTTTATACAATGACAATAAAGGCTATACTATACTATACTATTACTTTCTCCCAAGGGTTTTGTAACCTTGGGTTCTTCAACCAATTCCTCCCTGTTGATAAAGATCAAGGATAAAACCAGTTGGTCCAGAATAGTTATTATTTTGGCCTTCTTGGCAAAATTGCTGACTGCCCTCTAGCTGCACTTTGGTAGTTCGATTCTCATGGGCTCAAGGTTGACTCAGCCTTTCATCCTTCCGAGATGGCTAAAATGAGGACCCAGAATTGCTGGGAACAATATGCTGACTCTGTAAACCACTTAAAGAGGGCTCTAAAGCACCATAAAGAGTTATATAAGTTTAAGTGCTATTGCTATTAGATATCTAGCAGATAGTTGAAGTATCTCATTATCACTGTCACATATTTTTGAAATTTTGGTTGTCTAATCCAGAAAGGCCTAATCTTTTATCTATCCTGGCAGTTTCAGATAAACTCTGAACTCACTCTCTATTTTAAAAAAAATTATCCATACAGTTTCAACAAGATTTCCACAGGCTTCAGTATTGTGGCTTTCAGCCAATCTCTTGAATTCATGCTTCATTCTAACACTTTATCCTTTCCTTCTTGTTCTTAGCCTCAGCCCCTTGACAGGATATTAGTTTCTGGCCCTTTGCCACCCTTTCTTTCTCTCTCTCTCTCTCTCTCTCTCTCTCTCTCTCTCTCTCTCTCTCTCTCTCTCTCTTTCTTTCTTTCTAGTATACTCTCATCAGAAAGGAAGAAAGAATGAAATACTATTTGCAGCCCTACCAGATTCAGCTTCCTGCCCTGAACTCTATGGCCTCTGGAGACCTGTTGAAAGTCCCTTGGGGCAGTGTCACTTATCTCACATGAATCACTAGGAAAAAATAGTTATCAAGTTTGGGTCTATTTCATATCATGAATGCAGGCATTAGAAAAGCTATATCACAATGTTGTATCGAGTTTATAAAATGCATCCCCAGTTCCTTTCAGTAATGAGTTACTAGCACATGTTGACCAGGGAATTCTGGAAGTTGAACTCTACATATCTTAAAACGGCCAAGGATAAGAAGCATTGCATTGCCACAATGCAGAGTGTTCTTGTTTCTCAAACAAAGAGCATATCTTTGATCTATGAGGGTCCAAGTGTGTTTTAACCTATCCTATTCTGTGAAGAGGGATGCGGTGGCTCAGTGGCTAAGATGCTGAGTGTGTCGATCAGAAAAGTCAGCAGTTTGGTGGTTCGAATCCCAGCGCTGCATAATAGAAAGAGCTCCCGTTACTTGTCCCAGCTTCTACCAACCTAACAGTTCGAAAGCATGTAAAAATACAAGTAGAAAAACAGGAACCACCTTTGGTGGGAAGGTAGCAGTGTCCCGTGCGCCTTCGGCATTTAGTCATGCCGACCACATGACCACGGAGACATCTTCAGACAGTGCTGGCTCTTCGGCTTTGAAA